GCCCCGTAAGGTATCAGTGGAGAAGTTATAATTCACTAAATATGATACTCACGTTTCTATCTACATATCATCTTGGTATTGTGAGTTATAATATGTGTGGTATAGTTGGATGTCCAACTTGTGCTGTGTATCGGGGTGACATCCCCAGACAGACTGGCATCGGCACTATCCAGCCTATTAAAGGCAATCCGCTGTACCATGAACCCATTGAGAGAAGCCAGGAGTTACACCTATGAGTCAGCAGGACATATAGGGACAGGGGACTCCAAAAGCTTTTCCAGGCCCACGTGCTTGAGCTTGTGTTTGGGACAGAGGATGGACAAGCCACATGGTAAAGGATATAAAAAGGCAGCTGCACCATCTCCAGTTTATCTCAATCCTGCTTCTTACCTCTGGAGGAACTTTTCTACAAATTAAAGCACTAAATAAAGGACTGAATGACCCATCCAAGCTTTGGATGTCTTCTAGAGGGACTTTCCAGCCAGCAAACTCACCAATACTGCTAAGAACTTGATCTATGGACTTTGAAGTCTTAGGTATGTATCTGAGGGCTTTACCATTTAACAACTTTCTTCCTGTTCTTTTCTTTTCTAATAAACTTTTAGTTTTACAGACTAAAGGATTGGCCGGCAGGTTGGTATTTTGAGTAAGAGCCAAACTAATATTGACCTGGCAATATGGCTGGCCCTAGGGTCAGAAGAACATGTTGTAGAGTGAGCAGAGTTTTTAGATAACTTCTCGCTGGACTGGACCTAGGTGCTGGTTGGGAGCCAGAGAACTGGAATGCAGTAAAGGGGGCTGTGTGATTGCTTTTTTCAGCTTCTCGATAACCAGTGTGGGGGATCAGGAACTCAGTTTGTGACGGGTTGGTGAGTCTAACTTCAGTGTTACCCACCAGTTTGGGGAGAATCTGCTCTGTTTTTGCAGCCTGCCCTGACCTTGGCATTTCCAGTGTGGGCTGCCCCAGGCACCTCAAGTCACAAGTAACAACTCTGGACACAATAACAATCTAAACACAAAGCCCTTACAATAAGTTAGACACTTCAAGCCACATTGCCTTACACTGTTTGAAATGAGACCAAATGAGACCATCAGCTCAGAAGGCTGCCTAGGCTCATCTAAACTTTCTTTGCCTTCCCCTCCCCTAACAGATTAACGGCTGTTTCCACAAATGGTGTCTTTTTACACTGAGCTACTTTAAGCACATCACTTTTACCTGGGTCAGGCTGACTTTCCCAAGCTTTACTAGCCAACAATTTATCACTCACCCGACTGTCCCCCTTCTTTCCTCAATTAGGGCTTTAACCTGATCACCAACTTTAATATGCTCCAGAGAAACATCTTCCTGAGCCTTATCTAATGCCAGATTCACGTGTGAGATCCCAGACAGACACTCGGGAATTTCTCCCACGTATGCACTGCTTCTCTGCACAGACAAACAGCCATCTTCCTCCGACAAACCTTTGGAGAAACCCTCCACAGGCAAATCCTTGCCCCTGGTAGACACAGGCTCAGGATTATTTCTGTCCTGTGACTGGTTTATGGCATCAACTTGACTGAACAAAGCTTTAATATCAGCCCCAAATAAAAGATCCTTAGGCAACAACTTTTTGACAGCAGCTATAACTTCATGTTTAACACCATTCCATTCAATATGGATTCTGGGTAAAACAGTGGTTCTCAAAGTTTTCTACTGGCGACCCCTTTCACATAGAAAGCCTCTGAGTGCGACTCCCCCCCCCATATAAATTAAAAACAATTGTTTATATATTTAACACCTTTTAAATTCTGGAGGCAAAGCGGGGTTTGGGGTGGAGACTGACAGCTTGCGACCCACCTCTGTGAGCACAATTCTTCCAGGCTTTCTCTGTCAGGATCTTGATCATGGGGGAGGGATCACTCAGTGGTTGGAGCATTGGTCTGCTAAACCCAGGCTTGTGAGTGCAATCCTCAAGGGGGCCATTTAGGGATCTAGGGCAAAAATCTGGCAGGGATGGTACTTGGTCCTGCTGTGAAGTCAGGGGACTGGACTCAATGGCCTTTCAAGGTCCCTTCCAGTTCTATGAGATAGGTATATCTCCATATAATAATTTAAAAAACTGTAACTCATTTTTAATCCTTAAACTCTCCAATATGAAAATTAAATTTTGACAAGTGTGTGGTTCTGATCCAAAAACCCAATTAACCTGTAGTAATGTGACTACGTCACTGTGACCGGGGTCCTAGTGGGGAGCCAGCTGTGGTCACTCAATTAGGGTGAACTGCAAAGAATGGGGCAGACAATCCCCATCAAGCTGGTGGATATTGCAATCCTTAGATTTACCAAACCAGCATAAAACAGCTTCTTTATTACCTTCCTGGTTACTCAGAAATCCAAACAACACAGTGCCCTTAAAGTGCTCCAGGCTCAGGCCTCCATCCAGGTACCCACGTCAAATATGCTGATTTCTGTAAATCTTATTTCATCATATAAAAGAAAAGGTTCTACCAATCCCAAAGGATCGGACACATCACCTCCCAGGTTAATGAATACACGCTACAGACAATTCTTATAAACTAAACTAAAATTTATTAAAAAACAAAAGAGAGAGAGTCTGGTTAAAAGATCAATATACACACAGACATGAGTTAAATTCATTGAGGTGCAGATTCATAGCAGAGATAGTGAGCTTCGTAGTTGCAAAGAGTTCCTTTAGAATTCAGTTCATAGGTCATAGTCCAATGTTCAAATCTCATATTCAGGGCATACCAGTGTAACACTTCTGCCCGTCTGAGTTGGCAGCAACAAGGGCCGGGTTCAGTATCTAGGGGTTCCGGTTCAATAACACAATACAAAACCGGCTCGAGCCCCCACCCAGTGACCTGGGACAATTACATACCACCCCCCGGCTGCCTCTAAGAGGCAATACTTCCCCTCTCGCAAGCACAGAGTCTGAGTGTAGCAAAATCCTTTTAATAAAGGAGGGAAACAATGTGGCATTATGTTGGGAAAACACCACAAACAGGATTCATAACACAAACCATGAGCAAAGACCCAAAGTCCCAAAAGTCCAACACCCCAAAAGTCTCTTGAGCCCAGCAAAGCAAAAATCACCCAAAAGTCCAAAAACCCAAAAGTCTCTGTCCCTGGTCAGTGCGGCCCCAGAGTTCAAAAGTTTATCTGCAGAGTTTTACCTCCCAGCCGAGGGGGAGGGGATGGGGAGGCACAGCGGTGTTAAGGGGCACCTTACATGGTCCGAGGGCAACAGCCCCGCCATTCCATGGGGTTCTGCTGCAGCCTTTACCGTGAGCCGCTCCAGCTGTTCTGCAAACTGCTCCACTCCACCAGCTGTCCCATGAGCTGCTCTAGTCATCCCACAAACTGCTCTGCTCTACAACATATCTTCAGCCCGCCCCCAACACTCAGTAATTTTAACTTTTTAGTGATTTCAGCTTGTAGTAGGGGAGCCTCAGTGCTGGTGCACCATTGGCTCAAAGTGAATTCATCTCAGCAGCCTGTAACTAGACTCCTAATAGAATTAAAATTAGCTCTGATATTCCACAATAGAGGGGGGAAGAAGAAGCAGCAGCAGCAGCAGCAATTGGTATTTCAGGCCCTCAAAGAGGGGCCAATACCATCAGATACAAATACCTGTCCTCAGCCTCTCACAATTCACTGGGTTTTGGAACCCATGTCCCTTGTCTAGCGAGTGCTACTTAGTTGATGGCGAGTACCTCTGTCATAAAACAGTTTCATTGTCATTTATCAGGGGGTAGCCGTGTTAGTCTGTATCTACAAAAACAACAAGGAGTCTGGTGGCACCTTAAAGACTAACAGATTTATTTGGGCATAAGCTTTCGTGAGTTAAAACCTCACTTCTTCGGATGCATAGAGTGAAAGTTAC